CAACAACTTTAGTTTCTATTATTCCTCCTGGCCCTAAATGGCCCCAAGGAGCTTCTTAAAGAATTAAAATAATGGCTGCCTACTCCAATGTTTTGGGACAAACCTGCTCAGAAAAAGGACAAAGTAGTAATAATGGGAAGCTTCTGCAGGAACACTGGAGCGGGTGGCAGGCAGCATCTGGCAAACAGAGACTTTGCCGCTACCAACGTGCTGCATGGCAGCAATTTGTGAATGGACAAGTCCCACCAGCAGTCTTTTGGGGAAATATAACATCTTTCAAAATTCCAAATGTGCCCACCAACCCCAGTAAGTTGGAGATTCCTTTGATAGTTGGCATCTACATTTTAAGCACCACTTTAATAATTTAATTATTTCACTACTTCTGCATATAAAATAAGGGAATTAAAACTTCACCTTTCAACATCCAATTTTTTCATGTTTCTTTGTGGCCTCCGTTTTTGTTCTGTGTGCATTCCATCAGGGGACATTGAAGTTTCTGGGATTCCTCCCTGGTTCATTTCTTGTGCCTGAGAAACCTGCATCAGGACCATTTTTTCCCTATGTTGCCTCTCATCTTTATTATCATTGGTACAGTATCAGATTGTATTGTGCTATTATAATACTTTGTGCAATCTGTAATATATTTATCTGATGACTTGGTCTCCAGCTACTTTGTTGGTAAGCTAGGATTACCATATCTGTGCCACAAAACTTCAGATGAACATTAGATGGTAGCAAAGAGATACAGAAAATACTAGGTTGCTTTCTTGTTGTTATGTTGATGAAGGTTCTCAGTCATCCAGGTGGAATTATCTGGAGGTTGAGTCATGGCAACTGGACTTATTTTCTTTTGGTTTTTTTTGTTGTTATGTTGATGAAGGTTCTCAGTCATCCAGGTGGAATTATCTGGAGGTTGAGTCATGGCAACTGGACTTATTTTCTTTTGGTTTTTTTTGTTGTTATGTTGATGAAGGTTCTCAGTCATCCAGGTGGAATTATCTGGAGGTTGAGTCATGGCAACTGGACTTATTTTCTTTTGGTTTTTTTTTTTTTTGGACACTACTTGTCCAAGCAGCTTCTTCAGTCTAGAAGGTTGGTTAGGGGGGACCCCATAAATGTCTTCCAGGCTGGCTGTGTTTCTCACTAACATGATAGGCTCCTTGAAGGGACAATAGGAGAGGTGACTAAATATTTAATGACCCACTTGGGGATGAGTGAGGGATTAGGAGTAAGACATCCACATCCCAAAGACTCTACTAATCATATCTCCTATTTAGTGAGAAATGCAGCTACCCTGGAAGAAATTTATGGGGTCCCCCCAACTAACTTTCTAGACTGAAGAAGCTGCTTGGATAAGCAGCGAAATGTATCAAACCAAAAGAAGTCCAGTTGCCATGACTCAACCTCCAGATATTTCCTTGTTGTTGTCCTCCTCTAGTGTTTGTGCAGATTTTTGGATAATACTGGTTTTATGTGGAAAGAGAGAGAGATAATAGAGATGGTCATATAAAGATTTGGAATACATGGAATAGCATGCTCATGAAACCTATTCTCTCTTCTCCTTTCATCAGAATAAAGACAAACTGTAAAGCTGCTTGATACTTTCCTGGAGGCAATGCAAGGGGACTAAGGAACTGAATCTGAACTTGAATGGGATGACAGTGCTGTAAATACATAGCTTTCAAGTTTGGGAAACAGGGAGATGGCTTATTCTGAATAATTTGTTCTCATTCCAAAGGAACCAGTATTAATTTGGGATCTCTCCTTTATTCGAAGTTGCTACTAGAATCACAGTATCATCAGTGACAAGGGCCTATAACTACTTTGGCGTGCCAGCTACATGGGACTACCTAGGAAGAAGCCTAGCACTTGCAGCTGGTTCAGAATGCCAAATTGGCAGGGGGGATGTGTTAAATGGGACCGTATGCCAGTGGTATATAAACATCTGTGCTGGTCATCTGCAAGTTGCAAGATTCATGATTTTAAACCCAAGGATTTGAAGCATTGCCTCCTAGAAATCCATCCAGGTTATACATTAAGAACAGCTGAGGAAGCTCTGCACATGCTCCCATCAATAAGCCTGGCCTTACTGTGATGACTCAGACTAGGGCTTCTCATTAGTAGTGCGCTTCACTACCAATAGAAGGTAGTGAATTTGCTTATGGAAGGAGTTTAACAGTCTTCAGCAACTTAAACTCTACTTGTTTACCTGGACATTTCCATGGTAACAACTTCCCTAGGACCAAACTGCCTCCAAATAGTTTTAGTCATGGCAAATGATTTTAAACTGTACAACTAAATGCTGGACTGTGTTCTTTTTAACCACTTTTGCACTCTTATAAGGTGTTTGTTTGCTTTTTAATGGTGTGTTCTGTGTACTGCTCTTGGGAGGAAGAGGGGTATACAATAACATTAACATTAAAAAGTAGCATGAAATTACATACAGTATGTTTTATTTTCTCAGAACTATGCCAATGTCAACTGATACTTTAGCATGAGAGGGTCTTTAGACCACCACCTCCTTCCCACTGTGATCCCATTCCAAATAATTACTGCATTTGAATATTGTTTATCTGTAGATGCAATTTGCAGCTAGTGCCCTTGTTCTAGAGAACACCAAGAGCTACAGATGCTTATGCATTTGTTACCATATGCTTATTTCTCATTTCTTCAAGCCTTGAAAGACAAAGCCTCAACAATCTCACAGATGTAGTAGAGACAAGGATGGATTTTTCTCGGCTCAGCCCATGCAGCAAAAGCCATGGAAAATAACTTCTAAATTGATTCCCTGATTGCTACATTCTCCAACCTTAAGCACTGGGACTGTAGCACCCAGAATTCTCAAGTTCTATTTCTAACCTGAGCTAGTGTGGTTGAACCCAGAAAACATGTAGGCAAAGTCTGATGTTTGTTAACACTATTTTATTTCTATATCTTTATTGCTGTTGTAAGCTGCCCAGAATGATTGTATATAACATGGGTGGCTATATAACACAAAAAATGAATAAAATAAAATAATAAAAAATAATAAAAGGCACTGGATTTGAATGTGCTAAACTAAGGGGTACCTCTGTCCTTTCAGGTTACTTTCTTCATTGCCAGTCTTAAAAACTGCCTCACTCTCTCTTTTTCTCATTATACTGACATTGGTATACTGATTTCATGGAGGATAAAAAAGCTAAACAGGCATTGTTCTAACATTCATATACAATAAAGCATTTCAATAAAGCCACCCAGAGTCACCTGCTGGGGGAGATGGGTGGCATACAAATCAAATCAAATCAAATCAAATCAAATCAATCAATCAATATGAAATCAGGTTTAGAATGAAAGGATGGACTATGAGAAATGTAAAGCAGTGTTTTTTCTCACATTACGTATTTGTTATTCATCACTGCTTGTAAATAAATACAATTTTGCCCTTTCCTGTATCCTGGAATAGAATTTTTTGATCCTTGCCATACTTCCTTCACACTTAATTATTTTACTATGCCTGTTCTCTCCCAAACTAGCATTTGTGTTGATGTGATTGAAACAGATGAATCAATGTGAGAAAGTTTAATCAAATGGCTTCCCTTAGAGAACAGCACATTCAGGATTCCATTTTCCGTTGGCAACTATAAGTGGTTTACATTTTGATAAAAATCTTAAAGATCATATGATAACTGATAAGAGAGAGTGCAAGTCTCATTTTTTACTGCAAAGGAAATCCACAATAGCCAAACATACTGATGCCACCATGCTATTTTTTTTTTAAAGCATAAAAATATATGGAATAGGCAAGCAAGCTCAAAGGATGCTCTTTACCTGTTAGTATGCTGTAGCTGTTCAGACAAAGCTAGCATCTTCTATCAAGTTGTGTTTCTTTAGTACTGACAAATAGTTGCCTCTAATGCTTCAACTGGTATGCAAGATTTTCAGCAAAAATCCAGAGTTCTGCTGAAAAGGATGGAATTACCTTGCTGTACCACTGGCTGTCACTGTACAGGTAGACCACACTTTATGACTGCCCTGTTTAGGGACCAAAGTTACAATGGTGCTGAAAAAGTAACTTTATGACCAGTCCGCACATTTACGACCATCGCAGCATCCTGCAGTCACGTGATCCCCATTTGTGTGCTTCACAACCAGCTTCCAACAAGCAGAGTCAATGGAGAAGCTGGCAATAAAATTGTAAGT